CATTAAGCCCACATTCTACCTGGTTATATGTATAAGGAAAAATGGGTCAAATTTATATTATCAGTCATTAACTTACAAGGAAAATAGTAACTTAGGGCAAGTTTTCCTTATATAAAATTAATCTTTGCTTAAAATCACACATTTAGAAATTGCTCTTAAACGTGGCTTTTGAGTAATAATGAATATATTTAATAGCATGTAAAATTGGTAGCTGAAATTACACAGTGGAAAAGCCAAATGCTTAAAATATCATAAGGAAAATATTTTGTTGCTAGATGACAGTATCTACGCTACATCCAAGCAGTTCAGCTACCTTTCCCTCTTCATTTAATTTCCCCATTTCTGCTTCTCCTATCACAGATACATATCTTGGTCACAATACCCTGTTTCACACTGTGCTGGACAGTGTTACAGTGTTGATCTTCTCTGAATGGCTTCCATGCATGTATACATAAACATTATATATATGTATATACGTATATACATATGTATAATATATATGTTTATACAATATATATATAATGTTTATACAATATTTTATATATAACATATATAAAACAATCCATTAGTACATGCTATATATGTGTTTGTATACATATCTATATTTTTTCCATGCTCTAACCCCAATGAGCAATGGACAGAAGATACAATTTTTGTATCTGTCTTGTGGTCATTAGTAAATCTTCCCTGTAAATACTCATGAACTGTCTGTTGAGATGTTCTGACTTCAGCGTATACTTTGTGGTATATGGTTTGGTCCATGCTCAAAGGCTAATATTGCTTGAAGGCAAAAAGTCTGGGGAGGAAAGTATGTCCTGATGACATCCTTATGTGTTTTTTTTTTTAAAGGAAATTTTTTTAATGTTTTATTTATTTCTAGGAGAGAGAGAGAGAGAGAGAGCGTGAGCAGGGGAGGGTCAGAGAGAGAGGGAGTCACAGACTCTGAAACAGGCTCCAGGCTCTGAGCTGGCAGTCAGCACAGAGCCCGATGCGGGGCTCGAACCCACNTAAAAGATGTGCCCCTTTCCTTCACAGGTCCTAAGTTTGTTTTTGCTGTGTGAAGTTCATGAAGTTCTAGGTTAGGTGTTCCCCTTCTTCCCTACACCTGTTCTTCCAGGATATTTCATTTTATTTATTTATTTATTTAATGTTTTATTTATTTCTAGGAGAGAGAGAGAGACCGCGTGAGCAGGGGAGGGTCAGAGAGAGAGGGAGTCACAGACTCTGAAACAGGCTCCAGGCTCTGAGCTGGCAGTCAGCACAGAGCCCGATGCGGGGCTCGAACCCACGAACCGCGAGATCATGACCTAAGCGAAAGTCGGACGCTTAACCGACTAAGCCACCCAGGTGCCCCGACATCCTTATGTTTAACACAATATATGCTATGTGTCAATTTCCTGCTTTCTTCCAACAATTTTGCACCATGGCAAGCAGTTTTGAATTTTAAGGCAATAGCAGTATGCTAGTGCCAGTGCTAATGCTGTAGCAGAGAAACTGGAAGGAAGCTTCTGTCCTTTAAAATCTAGATTTCACCATGGCAGAAGGCTTCTTCAAACTAATTGTCAGTGAAACAGTGGGGGAAATCAGCTGTGGACTAGTGGAAGCCCATTGCTGATATGAAGGACATCATTATCATTGCTGACACTTGGGAAGACAGACAAGTAACTTTAAGGATGCTGGAAGAAACGATGGCTAGACTCTCATCAGAGTGTCAGGAAGAGGGATTGCTCCTATACAGCACTGGACATGCTTGTGCATAAGGACCATACTATACCTATCCTGTAAAATGCTCTACAAGCTCTTCTGTTATAGAGGACATGCTTTTTACCTTTCATCCATGATGTGTAGGTGTGTGTGTGTGTGTGTGTGTTTAAAATGCCTTCCAATTCTTCAAAGACCCCCATGGAGCTAGATAGGGGGTATCAGGAGAAACTCATGGTTTTTAGTATATAAAGATAGACATGGGAATAAATATAGATTATAATGTATGTGGGCATGTATATGCGTATGTGTGTACGTCCCACTCTTTATTTCTGTCAGCTGAGTGGGCCTAGAAGCAATAGTAATGAATATACCAAGTATCCAGATTTTTATTTCTAAATGCCATTTTACACTAGAAGGAACAGGGGCTTTGTGGATAAATGGTTGATTGAGGATTGGGATAGGAAAGAAGATGGGCTTAGAACATCTTGTGGCGGCAAAGAGGAGAGAAATCCTCAAAGAATGATGGAGACAAATAAAAAACAAAAACAAAAACAAAAAACTTGGGCCAGTCTGAAGGAGCTTCCACAAGACAAACTTGTAATAATTTTATCGTCAAAATAAATATTAAAGGATTGTAATTGAATGAATAAAATAGGAATACAATGAAGTCCAAAATAATGTCAATAATTAGGAGAGAATGGAAAACTTTTCCTTATGATAGAAATCTAACTTCTTACTGTAGAAAAAATGATGAAAATTGAAAAAATTACCATTTGGCAGTATTTTGGATTCCTGGGCCCAATTTCAAGGGGACAGGACAGAGATGCAGTTTTCCCATAACACCAGCAGTTCTCTGGCCACCAATTCCATAGGGATGGCCTACAATTCCATTCAATTCTGACACCATCTACCTCGAGATAGCAACAGATCTTGCAGGTCATGGGCTCAGTTCTACAGGACTTGTCCCCTCCATCCCCACTTCAGATGCCAGTCCAAAGCACAGGTTGTTACCTATACTTCCGACTGACTGGTTATAAATCAGAAGTTCCCATTATTCCTTCCTTGGGTTTGATGGATTTGCTAAGCGGCTCACAGAACTCAGGAAACCTCATTTATTCACCTATTTATTCGCTTATTTATTATGAAAGGCTACAACTCGTGAACAGCCAGGTAGAAGAGAGGCATAGGACAGGCATATGGGAAAGGGCATGGAGCTTCTCCGCTCCTTCCAGGCATGGCAGTCTCCCTGCATCTCTACCCTCACCAACTTAGAAGCTCTACGAACCTTGTCCTTATGGAGGCTTCACGGCATAAGCATGGTTGATCAAATCATTGGCCTTTGGTAACTGATTTAATCTTAAACTCTCCTTCCTCAGCAGCGGTCAGTGGGATGGGACTGAAAATTCCAACTCTCTAATTATGTGGTTTGTTTCTCGGTGACAACCCCTGTCCTTAGGTGATCTAGGGTCATTGCAAAAGTCACCTCGTTAACATAACAAAAGATACCGATATTGCTCTCATAGATTAAGAAATTCCCAAGGGTTTAGGAGTTTTGTGTCAGAAATGGGAGGAAGACCAAATATATTTCTTATTAGAGGTCACAACATCATAGGCAAGCATCTTAGTAATAACTGATTCAGGCAAGAATCATCAGTGATAAAACTGATGGTAGAAACTGAAACTGATACTAAAACTATGGTAGAAAGTTAGATATTACCAGGACATGTAAGTAGTCTCCACTGAGCCAAGTTAGCATTACTAGCGTCGGTTCTAAGCATCTACGCATCAGGCTAAGACCACCAGGAACACACCTGTAGTTGAACAAGCTGGGATCATCAATTGTTGCAGTAAGGAAGAATACACACCATGGGAAACCATAGGTTGGTTCAATGAAAGGGAGTTAAGAAGGACTTACAGGATTTGGGGGGTGTTAGGTAACTCTGGAGAAGGTTAAAGAAAATGGTTCTGGATTGGAAGCTGTCAGGAAGTGTGGGTAATCTATCATTGGATTTTTCAGGAAATCTTATTTTAAAGGATGACTAGACTGAAGCTAGAGCCATAATTGGCAAAGCAGCCACAGGATACATATTACCGAGGCTGGAGGGAGGTTTGGCCATTGGTGCAATGATGACAGTGTTCATTGTTTTGTCTGTGTTCAGACATGATAATGGAGGGGTCTTGTCACAAGGTCCCAGAGTGGCCTTGACTAATACTGATCTTCTGGGAAACAGTTTCTGTTGAACACAAGAGCCCCGAAGCCCAGCTCTGAGTGCCAGTGAGTCTCCTAGCAACACCAAGGCCCCGCTGGTGGCGTTCTCAGATGCCAGAAGTCAGGGACTGCTTTTCTTTTTCTCACTGGTAACCCATTAAACCAGAATCAACCAAATTGACATCCTGTGCCTACTGATATGAAAAGGAAAACAACATCACTCTTGTGGCATTCCTGCCCAAAATCCACACCCTGAACCTCATCAAGAGGAATATCCAACACAAACTGCTGGATATGCTACAAAGGAGCAGGCCTGCATTCCTCAAAAATGTCAATGCCATGAAAGAGATTGAGAAATCGTTCCAGAATGGAGATGAGCCAAACATAACAGCGGACTGCAGTGCCTGAATTGGAATTTTCTTTTACTATAGCAGACATTACTGGGATAATTGGCAAATCCTAAATAAGTCTGTAGTTTAGATGATTGTAGCAGCATTAATTTTCTGATGTTGATCGTGATACTGTGATATTTAAGACTCCTTACTTTTAGGAAGCACATTGAAGAATTTCACGGTAAAGGGGCATCATATCTACAAATTACTCTCAAATAGTTCAGAAAAAAGTGTATGTATGTGTATGTATACTTTGTGTGTGTGTGTGTGTGTGTGTGTGTGTGTGTGTGTAGAGAGAGAGAAAGCATAAAGTCAAATTTGGAAAATCCGGATGAAGAATACATGGGAATTCTTTATATAAACTTTGCAACTATTTGTAATTATATCAAAAGTTAGAGGAAAAAAACGCCTTCCTCTTCCTATTTTTACCACTGCCTTTCTTTTCCAAGTAAACGTTATCTTGGGTAAGGGTGAATTCAGCCTTGGTGTTTTAGTAACTGCATTCTTGGGTAAAATATCTATTATATACATCTTTACATCTAAATCTCCTTTCTTAATTTTTTATGACTATTAGAAGACTGACATTAGGTTTCCTTGGGGGGTAGCTACTTCCTTTAGTAGCAGTCCTTATATTTGGTAAAATGTATTATAACTCATCTTTTCTTAATTCTATAGATATGAATTGCTAGGAAAATATGCAGTAAGCTTCAATTTGAGAAATTCTCTTGGTGGCAGAAGCACAGCCTCATTGAGATGTGATCCACGGGTGAGCATCTACACACTGCATGTGTTCGCTTTTGTGTCCTTCTTCCATGTGTTGTTGACATTAGTCTGTATCAACACATTCTGTAAAACATAACATTTACACTAATACCACAGGGCTTTCAGTGCAGAATGAGGAAGAAAATAGGAGTGAAGTCTTTTTGGATAACTTTGTGAAAAACAGCTATCGTCATTATGAGTGTTGCTTAGAATACTTTATCTCAAGATTTAAGAAAACAATTCACATATGACTTAATCTTGAAGCTAGAGTATTTGGTATTCCATAGATTAAGGAGAGCCATTATTGGAGGTAAAGAGAGGTATTATTTTATTATCATTGTTGAGAACAAGCTGAAGCCATCCACATACCGTGGAACTGTGTTGAAATATGCCTGGTTCACCCAAAAAAGGAGCTAAAATCAGTAACTTAAGCTCAGTCCAATGTATCACTTAGCCTTAAAATTTGCCCATTACTTTGAAACATTGCTGTATTTAGATATTCTTAATAATTGACAACTAGTGGTGTCTCTGTAATTTTTAGTAAAAGCATTGTTACAATATCTTGCTTAGTGGGACTTTCTCATAGGTTCTCATATATATATATATATATGTATGAGTTGCCTTACTATGAGGACTCCATTATATCAGCCTTACTCAGCCCCATTACCTTTTGTCAAAAACCTGAGATTTGGCAGAATTGTTTTTTATTTCTTTTTTGCTTTGTTTTGTTTTGCTTTGCTTTTAATTAGAAAAAGTGTACATGTGGGGGAGAGTGGCAGAGGGAATGAGACAGAGAGAGAGAGAGAGAGAGAGAATTTCAAGCAGGCTCCATGCACAGTGTGGAGCCCAACTTGGGGCTTGGTCTCACGACCCTGGGATCATGACCTGAGCCAAAATCAAGAGTCAGACACTCAGCTAGCTGACTGAGCTTCCCAGGCACCTCTTTCTTTACAGTTTTTCGTTTTTGAGAGAGAGAGAGTGAGAGGTTTGACAGAATTGTAAAGAAGGAAACCAGCTTCAGTAAAGGTGGTTCTCAAGATGTGAGGGCCACTTGTCTGAAAATCACCTGGAGTGTTTGTTAGAATGAAGATTCCTGCCTCCACCTCAAACCTATTCAGTTGGAAGCTCATGATAGGAGGCGCTGAAGCTGTAAATGGGGACTTTGAAGTTCATTCAGAAAGATGACTCATTGCCCAAAGTAATACAATCTTAAACACAGAACTAATATTGAAATATTAGCAAATGGATTTAAGATTCTTAATTAATTCAAATACGTGTAACTTCATAAATATAATTATTAGATAAAGTTTAAGTGGGAGTTTTGCTGAGTGTCCACTGTGAACTCAGAACATTTATGAATGCTTAAGTTTTTAATCAAGGAGGATGGATTTCTAGATAATATTGCTAAGCTGAGTTGTTTTAAGTCACATTTTTGGGCAATAACCTTGGCAATAAAGTTTTTTTTATAATAACGATAATTATTCTTTCTTATTTATTCTTGAATTCGGCATTCTGAAAAAAGAAGAAATTGATATTCTTCTACATTGAAGAATTAAATACGTAGAGAAAAATCTTCACGATTTCTTCCACTTAATCTATACAGCAAAATATTTGGTTAAATTATAATTAAGCCTCATTTTTTTTTAAAAAAGCAGAAATTGTTATTTGAAAACCAAATGGTACAGCTATAAAGGATATTCAGTAGTCTCCCTTATCTTCAGGGGATAGTTCTAAGTCCCCAGGTTCACAGATCTGTGAAAACACAGATACTACCAAGCCCTATATATACTATGTTTTTTTCCCTTTACATATATATCTATGATAATGTTTCATTTATAAATTAGGCACAGTAAGAGGTTAACAATAATTACTAATGGTAGAACAATTATAACAATATACTATAATAAAAGTTATAGGAATGTGATCTCTCTCAGAATACCTTATTGTACTGTACTCATCCTTCGTCTTGTGATGGTGTGAGATGATAAAATGCCCACATGCCTACATGATGAGATGAAGTGAGGTGGAAGATGTAGACATCGTGACGTAGTGTTAGGCTACTATTAACCATCTGAGGATATGTCAGGAGGATCACCTGCTTCCAGACTGTGGTTGACTGTGAAAAACTAAAACCAAATGAAACAAAATTTGGATTGGGGGGTGGGTGCTGTATAAGAAATATTTCGTCCCTTTCATTAAAAGTAAACACAAAGGCTGGGCGATCCATAACTTAAGGAAACAAAAAAGAGTTTAGACTGTCATCTTATATTTGACTTGACAGTGAGGTGTACAGGATGACTACCTCTAGTTATTGCTGAATTGAATTCCAGAAAGTTCAGGAGGTGAAGAGACAATGAGGGTCATTAGCAGGGAAGGTAATGGATACTGTCACCCTTTCTGTAGATGAAGGGACAGGCCACGAAGAGTTGAACCAATGTAATATAGGTTGTGACAATATTTTGGGTGATATTGGACTGAATATAGGAAATGCACTCATGATGTCGAGGGTGTCTAAGTCTGGTTAAACCTTTGGTCCTGCACCAATGTTACCCTCCACTGGCTCCCCTATTGGTAGAGCCGGCTGAGTCTGGCCTGGCACCCCGAGGTTTACAGCATGACTGGTTTAGTTACTTCCTCTTCTGTGGGAGGTAGGTCACTAGGGGAAGAGACAAGATCCAAGAGCTCACAGGCCACCCTTGTGCCGACCTCAAGCCTACATTCCCAGCTTCCAGAACGCCTTGAGGACTCTGATTTTCTGATGCCATCTGATCCACAAAGATTAGGGCCAGTGCAGATACCACAGAAAAATACTAGAACCCTCCCTTCAAGACTCAACACCTTCCAGAATTAAATAGGAGAGATCAAAGAATGAAAAGAAAAGAGCAAGAATAATATATATAAGTGTTAGAACATGAAAGAGTTATGACCAAAGAGCAAACGTCTCCGTTTATTCTTTTTGAAAATTAAACTCCTTGAACATTAAAATTACAGTGATTTCTGATTTTAAACTTCTATGTGGATGAAAACAATTAGATTTTTTTTAAGTTTATTTATTTGGAGAGTGAGAGAGAGAGAGAGAGCACATGGGAGGGGCGGAGAGAGAAAGAGAGAGGATCTCAAGCATGCTGTGCACCTCAGCACAGAGCCTGAAGCAGGGCTCAGTCTCATGAACCATGAGGTCGTGACCTGAGCCAAAACCAAAAGCTAGACTCTCAATTGACTGAGCCACTTAGGAACACCAGTTACACAGATTTTTAACTTGTCTTTAAAGAAAAAGTTTTAGGGGTGCCTGGGTGGCTCCCTAGATCATCCAATTCTTGATTTCAGTTCATGTCATGATCTTGTAGTTCAGAAGCGTCGAGCCCTGCATAAAGCCTACTTGGATCTCTCCCTCTCTCTCTCTCTGCCCCTCCCACTCTCGTGCTTTCTCTCTCTCCCAAAATAAATAAACTTTTTAAAAAGTTATTGAAATTTTAAAGTTAATTCTGTGTGATTCAACTTCAGTTCCACTCACATGTTTGTTTTTTTAAGTTTTCTCTCCACCTAATATGGGGCCTGAACTTAGGAGCCCAAGATCAAGAGTCGCATGCTCTAATGACTGAGCCAGCCAGGAGCGCCCCCACCCCCGACCCCACTCACGTGCTGTCCATGTAAAGTATGGGTGTAAATAAAATGCAAGTATTCCAACTTAATTGGAAGTCCTGGTGGAGGGCAACCAGGATAAAACTAAGGGAACTTAATTCAAACATAAAGATTTGTACCTACCGAGAACACAGTCAGTCTGGTGCTTAAAGAAAGAGCCGTCCACTTGGACTTCTTCCCAGTTAAGAAATTTGAAACCATTTAAAATCAAATTTCCCTTTTTTTTAGGGTTGCTTGAGCTATTTAATCACATTAAAGAGATGTGATTCTTTTCAAAAACATATCAATAATATATATTGCTACAAAATATTGAAACAATGTGTTTCTACCCTTTAAAGTATCTGTACTATTGAACCTATGTAAACAAAGGAGCCACAGATTGCCAGTACCAACTGCTACCAAACTTTTGCCCCATTTCTCCTATTCTTCTTGTATAATTGTTGCTTCACTCAAGTAGGAGTGATTTCTTTCTCACTTTTTTTTTTTAAATTCAATGAGGCATTGCATTGTTTCAACAGTTAAATAGTGAATCTTATTAAGATTTTCTAAGTACCGGACAATGATTTATCTTCTCTTTCTGGTAATTGCTCACTGTGAAAATTCACCAAGAATGACTGTTAAGACTCTCTGAAGGGCCTGAGTAATTTGATTTTCATAGGCCTCAGAACCATTCACACCTGGAGGGCTTAGAAAGCATGTCATTCTAATCCAGCTCACGACATTTTACAGATGAGGCCTTCTAGGCCCCAGGAGTCTCTGAGATCTCACACACCATCAGACAGGAGTAGCTGAAGCTAAGCCTGATATTAAGAAAGTTCTGCATTCAGTCACCTGTCATTATATCCTTAGCATGTCTATGCATTTACAAAATGTTTTTGAAATATAATGAATAGCATGGCATTGATCGCTGATGCTAGTACTTAGCATAACCTGTGATTGCCAATGCTATCCTGCTTAGGGGCATAGCAATACATCATTTCTCCCTCTATGGTGTATATGAATACAGTGGTGGTGTATTTGCCTTTCAAATATGTAGCCAAAGGCTATTGTTATATTTGCTTTTGTTAACAAACCTGGGTTACCAAATGTGCAGTTACCATTGACTCAAAATGATAAGTTAGAAGAGAAAGGAAATAAGATGAAGATGTTAAGAAGTAACATGACTTGTCAATTATTATTTGTATTTTAAAATGCAATATGCCTTACCTGTCGTGGGAGCATCTCTAAATTTTTAGTTGTTCCTTGGTATGTCATTTTATCATTTCAAACATGAACATTTGGGGGGTTTGTATGTTCTGGGAGGCATCTTAAGATAAAAGACTAGTCTTTACCTTTGTTTTTACGAATTATAAACGACTTTGTCGTGGTGAGCAGCTGGAGGAGGAGAGCCCTGCCGAAGCTTCCAAGAATCTCCCAAGTGTGATTCCCTCTATGCCCACTGCCAACTGACTGTGCCTCTGTGGTTGCACTCGATGCCCAAACACTAAACGTTCCTGCTTTCTGCTCCCCATTGTGGCTCTGGGCCGAGTCATTAGGAGACGTCTGTGAGTAAAAGCATGTCCTTTGTCTACACTACATTCTGGGATGACAGCGCTATCAAAACAGAAGGGAAAAGCACCTCTGTCTTTGTTTCTCTGAAGAACAACACACATGATATTATAGATGCTCGTGTTATGAATCTTCATACAATGATACAGTACATTCAGTGCCCTTGATTGTGTTTAATCCTCCAAACATCCTTTTGAAATATTATTCCCATTTTTGAAAGATGAAATTGAGGCTCAGCACTGCCAAGTGACTCATCTGAGTTCATTTAGCTGTGAATGGCACCGTGACACCTTGAACTCAGGATTTTTGCCTCCTTGCTCTATGTCCCAGCTGCCTCAACTTGTTAATTTCTATGAAGCCTGGATTTACTTTGGTCCTGATTCTTTGGAATATTAAATGCACATTCTTTGTTTTTGCTCACTGTTATTTTATGGTTAGCACAACAAAAAACAAACAAACAAAATCCCTAAATCCAGTCTGGCTGGAACTTAATCTTTAATCTTTATAAAGACAATAGGCCAGATTGAGGCCCTCATAATAAGGTGCTAGCCAGCCAGGAAGGAAGCTGGGGAAGTCTTCCTCCCAGGAGGTAATTGATTCCTAACACCTTAGGTACCCCTGAGTTTGGAGCCTCCATGAAAAGGAGTCTGTAGTTTCCCTCTACTTCAGGGGGTGTGTGTACAAAGCCTTTATTTTCCCCACTCCCTTAGAGTTAGCCAGGGACGGCCTCTGTGTCCATGAGCCCAGAGTATATGTAAACGACCTGAAGGCAGAGAAAACAAATGTTAAAATTATCATTATTTATGTGCCCCCAAATTTAATAACCTTAAAAATGTAAGAACAACAACAAAATAATCCTAAAGGAGGACAATAATTTTAAAACATGAAGTTTAGGGGCGACTGGGTGGCGTCCAACTTCCGCTAAGGTCATGATCTTGTGGTCGGTGAGTTCCAACCCATGTCGGGCTCTGTGCTGACAGTTCAGAGCCTGGAGCCTGCTTTGGATTCTGTCTGTCTGTCTGTCTCTCTCTCTCTCTGCCCCTCCTCTGCTCACAGTGTCTCTTGTTTCTCTCTCAAAAAATAAACATGAAAAAATAAAATAAAACACAATAAAATAAAAACACAAAGGTTTAGAAAACCAAATTTATTGGGCTTAGGGGCCAGGGGAAAGAAGGTGTAAGAAGTAAACAAGTCTGGGATGACCTAGGTTTTGCTTCTGACTCTGTGCCCTTGGGCAAGACACCAAACACCCAAGTCTAAGGAAGGTGTGGGACTACATGGCCACTCAAGTGCTGGGGCCCTCCTGGTGAGGGAATATGAGTACCCAGAACCTTAATGAGATCTTTCTCACTCTTGCAGTAAAGTAGCTGATGCTAAAAATTAGACCCGATGGCACTAGAGAAGCAGGGAAATGAAGTTCAAATTCAAAAGAAAAGGTGTGGGATCTAAGTTTAGGGTTACATATTTCATTGAACTTCCAGGGCTGAGCACAGCATATAGCAGGCATTTCATAAATGAATGGATGACAGGTGGATGGACTGATGGAAGGTCAGTCCTTTACCAGTGGTGATGGACCTGGGGACAAAGAAACCTGTAGTTGAGTCCTGATCCACATCAACACAGTGAAGGAGGCAAAATTATAAGCCTTAATTTCTTCCTGTGTAAAATGGAGATGATACCTCAGAAGGTAATGAGGATTAAGTGCGAAAATGCTTAGTTCAGGTCCATGCACATAGGAAGCACACAATTTTGTGATCAGATCCTCTAAGGACTTCTCTGAGGAACAAAGAGGCTCCAGGGACAAGCAGTGTGTCAGCCTTCCAGATTTCTGCTGGACTCTGCACCTTGTCTCTGAGAGTGGGACCTCTTTCTACTGGGGCACACGATGAGATCAAGGGCTCTAAGATGAAGCCCAGAAGTTAGGTGGGCTCCGTGAGGCCCAATGTCAGCCTCCTTTGCACGGAAAACCAGTAGAGTCTTGGTCTGTGCAGCTGGGATTTCAAAATGGACCCAGGCCTGAAACCTGTGGGTGGGGATGATGTCTCTGTCCCTTCTGGGGGAGGCTGGGGAAGCAGTGTCTGAGGTGAGAGTCCGTTGGCCTTTCAGTGAAGTCTATCTGTTGACCAGGAAAGCCTCAGCTCTTTCAGAATTCCTAGGCTAGAGCTGGTGACACATTTGAATGCATTTAAGGTATTTCATGGAGACTTGTTGAATGTAGCGGACTTTGCTACAATCTGGAAACCTAGAGGTCTTTCCAGCAACCCATGGAGCTGTTCCTCGCTCTAAATGAACTGTTTCTAGTTTAGGTGGGAGAACTTTCTAATGTTAGATTTCTCTTGGGCCTTTCCTTCTAACAGTAGTGTTCCCCCCATAGTTTAGCTAAAAAAATGATACAAGCAGGAGAGTATTCCTGGGAGTGTACCTATTAGTGTAAAACCATATATTTATGAAGCGTGCTTCTACGAAACAATCAAAAACTGACCACTCAGCCACAAAAATATATACAACTCTGAGAAGGGTGAGAGTTGCTTTTTGTAAGGTGAGGTCACCATGGGGAGGACAAATCCCTTGGGCCAACAAGAGCTCAAATGAGGACAGTTGAGACGCAGCCTAATGGTCTCTAACCACCCAGTTTAAGAGGTCTGAGAAGACTTCAGAAGCAAGACAAAGGAAAATGTTCTACAGTCTCCTCTGGATTACCCAGGGCTGAATTCCCGCAGGCGGGGCAAGGGAAACACGCAAATCTTTCAAAAAACTTCCTGTGGGGATGAAGCAATTGACGGTCTAGGGGTGATTTCTCCTTAATGGTTTTTTATTTTATTATTTATTTATTTATTTATTATTTTTTTTGCCTTAAAAGAATTTTCTGTGGAGCCGTCACGCAGTTTTCCATACTTCTGTCTCCGCAAATTCCCCAGGTGGAGACGGTCGTAGGCTTTAAAAAACCATATTAGTGACCACCAGAGACGGAAATCGCTAATTACTGAGTCCCCTTTGATCTCCCCCAGCCGTTTGGCTGCCGACACTGGAGGTTCAGGCATCTACGCTTTCTTAGAACAAGACGAGACTAGCGAGCCTTCGAGTCCGATGTCGGACCTGCAGTTTAACTTGTGCGCAGAGGTCTGGATCAGATTTTTTAAAAATTTCCAGACTGCCAGGATTTTAAATCCAGCCACGGAGCTGGTGTGCGGCTGGAAGGTAACAAACGCCCAAGTGTCTGATTAATTTCAGCAACCCGGTAGCTCCGCGCTTTAAGTTTTGGGGGCAGACTGGGGAAATAAATTATTTAAAATGTCCAATTCACTCCCTTTCTCCCCTACCCCATCTTCTGCTTTCGATTCGTTTTTGGGAAATGGGAGTTTTCTTCTCTTTGCTGGGACTAAAATGTGATTCGGAATCGTTTGTGAAATGAACAAAAGTCACCCCCGGCAAACGGGACGACTGGGGCAGAGCGCTGATGGCAGACCGGCGGTGGGAGCAAAGGCTGGGCCCAGCCTCCTCCCCGCCGGGTCTCCATGGTCCCCTTCATCTTCCAGGTAAGATGAATGGCCCCTCATCCATCATCCACAGCCTAGCCTCCTCCCCCAGGCAAGCGGAGAATCTGCTACCCGAAGAAACCTATTAGCCCCGAATTGGGCAGCTTTGTTGAGCCAAACGAGGCTCTCTATAGTGGCCTTTGTCTGCGGAATTGAAGCATTTACATGATGCTTTAGCACGGAACTCCGCGCAGGGTCGGGACACCGCGTGCCCAGACCTGGCGCGGACCGCGAGCGGGCAGCTCCCTCACCCCGCTGCCCCTGGGGTCACCCTCGCCGTCTCGCCAGGGTGACGCTGTAGGCGCTCTGGCAAGGAACCCAGGGCCACGTCCTTCCTCAGCCGACTCCCGGCAGTTGCGCTTTGAAAGAAAGCGGCAACCGTCTGGGGGGCGAACCCAAGCTAGGTCCATCTGAGCCTGAAGCCGGAGAAATAAATTTGACTTCATTCCGTCTTTCCAGGCGGTCGTTGCGGGCTTCGCCGTTTTTCAGCTGACCGTTCGGAGTCGTGTGCCCAACGGTCACTGGTGACTCCGAACGCAGAGGCTCTCTGGGTTCTCTTCGCCGGCTCCCCGGACCGTGTGCGCGCGCGGGGTCGCTAGCCGACCCGCGCGCCAGCTGAGAGCCAAAAGGCCTGGCGCAAAAAGCATTTAAAGGGCAGAACGTTCCGCAGTGCGTGGGAGTACGGCCCTAGGGAATTTAGGAAAGACTCCGCAGGCGTTGGTGGCGCGCCCTCTTCGCAGAGTTTTAGTAAGCCAACGTCTCTGGGTATCCAATCCTTTAGAGGCAGGTGGTTGGGCTCAGAAATCCCGCGGGAGGGGGCTTTTCCACCGAAAACGTTCCCGAAGTGCTAAAGCATCATGTAAATGCTTCAATTCCGCAGACAAAGGCCACTATAGAGAGCCTCGTTTGGCTCAACAAAGCTGCCCAATTCGGGGCTAATAGGTTTCTTCGGGTAGCAGAACGCACCCCAGTGCAGACAGGTGCAGGAACTTTTGTGCGGCCACGCCTCGGTCACCACATCAAACGGTCGCTCAGAAGTCGAGAGTGCCGGAGGGAACCTGCCTCTGGAAGGGGCTCTCGAAGAAGAACCCTGCACCTGGGGGGCCCCCAGACGCGTTCCAAAGAACCCGGAGTCCCGCGCGCCCCTGGAGGCAAGCGGCGCTTGCAGCGGCGGCCAATCAGCGCTCTTGCCGGGTCTGTGACGGCGTCGGCCCCGCCCCCTTGCCTGGAATAAAAGGCCTCAGAGGCGGCTCTAGGCTAGAGCTCCGCGCACTTCCGCGTGCTCTGCCGCGGACCCCCCAGGTGCGTTTCGTAGCTTGCGGCTCGCAGCGCCGGTGCCACAGTCCCCGCGGTTAGCCGCCGTCGGGTCCTCATTCCCCTCAGTCCCCAGTGCGAGGGCGGCCAAGCCAATTTCCAGGCTCTCTCCCCTTTCTTTTTTGCTCCCTCTCCCTCCACGGCGGCTGCAGACCTCTGTGGCCCTGGGCCGCTGACCTGCAGGTGAGCATCAGCGCCCCTGTCCCGCGAGCCCGCCTAGCCCGACGGGTGTCCACCTCCCCCCCCGCCCCCACTCCCTTTTCCCTGCAGGATGAAGAACCCAATGCTGGAGGTGCTGTCCCTCTTGCTGGAGAAACTGCTCCTCATCTCCAGCTTCAAGCTCTTCAGTTCGGGCGCCCCGAGCGAAAACAAGGCGAGGAACAGTTTCTATGAGATCAACGATTTTCTGCGCGGAGACGTGCTGGAGGTGCCCCGGACCCACCTGACCCACTATGGCATCTACCTGGGCGACAACCGTGTCGCCCACATGATGCCCGACATCCTGTTGGCCCTGACCGACGACAAGCGACTCACGCAGAAGGTGGTCTCCAACAAGCGTC